TTAAAGGAGTATTCAGGATAAAGTTAAGGCCATTAATATAGCGATTTGCATATGGGAAGAAGTGCAAAGGCCATATAGATGGAATTGGTGAAAACAGGTGACTGAGGATAACATGGAATTATAAACCTTCAAGAGTGAACAGCTAGAGGAAGACCAGAGAGATGTAAAGGTTTTAAGCCTGGTGATAGTAAAGTTTTCCCATATTTTATTAAGTTTCACATGCTTGTCATGAAGATGTATAAAGAAATGAAGGATTATCTTCATGCATTCTTATTGTTCATAGTGTATGATGAGTGCGGGCATTAAAATGTGTAATCTGTGTAGATAAGAACAGGACCAAATCCATTAAAATAATTTGCTTCTCTAGGAAAGAGTAATAATTAGGAATATAAAGAAATATTATATCAAAGACATTTATAAGATAAATTAACAAGATGTTGATGTAATAAAAGAGCAAGCCCCTGTCACAAGTGTAGCATGTTACATAACCTCACATAATGGTAAAATAACCCACCTTTCCGTGCCATAATAATTGAAGAAAATGCTTCAGGTAAACTTCCACCTGCTGCAAGCATAGTGAGTCCCATGACAGAATCAGGAACTCCAAAGGTATTACCTAAAGAATGCAACAATAATTATTTATTAGCAGGCTTGTTTTATTTTATCACTCTAAATTACTACTAACAGACTCAGTTTTGTAAGCGTATTTATTGTATAAACTTTAGCATAATTTATCCCAGACCAGGAGTGGATATTTATTTTTATTCAGTGACCAGAAAAGACTAAAAAGTATAAGAGGAAGCTACAGAGGGATAGGTGGATTTAGAATTGTAAATATAAGATGGTGGACAAGGAGGAAGAGGTGGAGGCAAGGAAAGTAATAAAGAAGGAGATGAAGAGCAAGAATTGAAATATTATTAAGATTGAAAAATTATGAGAAGAAGAGGGAAATTGATGGATATATAATTGAAAGTATCAGAAAATGAGGAGGAAAAGTTGAAAACTTTTAAAATTATAAATATGTGAACATGATTATATGAGAATAATGAAAAAACATAACATACCTATAGTTGTCATCATCCAGGCATTGAGGTATGATGCTGTTCCTATCCATACTATGCACATAATGAATGTGAGAGGATATAAGTGACGAAAATGATTTTTACGACAATCTGGAATACTGATGAAAACCAAGAGTGAAACTGGCCATGAAAATATATTCCACACTTTCTCTATTAGTCCGCTACCTGCTGGTGGGCACATTAAGCGACCTGTGGGGCAAAAGAAACTTCAGTACCATTCTTCTAGAATTATTGACGTTCTAAGAGTTTTAATAAATTAAATTTACCTTTACGTTTAGGAGATTTTTCTGTATCATCTGAAGTTATATTGTTGCTAACAGTGAAATCTCCATGAAGATACCAGCGGTATATTCCAGGGCCAACACTTGAATAAACCTCTGATACAGAACTCTCTGAAAGAATTGAAACTGATTAGTAGTAGTGGTAGTGGTAGTAGTAGTAGTAGTAGTAGTAGTAGTAGTAGTAGTAGTGTAATAGTAGTAGTAGTAGTAAAATTAACTGATATGCTGATTCAGACTTTCCAAGAAATTGCCAATGTTATGGAATGCAGAGGTCCATTACCGTCTCGAGTTATTCTTTGATGTAATTCCCAGTCATGTAAATTCAGTTTTATTACAATCTAAAGTTTAATACCTGTTTCAGTAAGATCCTAAAATTTATACAATTGTCTTCTGAGGATTTTGTACCAGAATATTTTATGTTTTCATTTTTTTCTCTATATATGATACATATGCAGCCCATCTCAGTCATTCCAACAAAATTAAGTAAGAGTAAAAGATAAGAAGCCTTTTTTTTTGTCATACTGCAATGTCCTATCCTATTGGAACAATTAATTGTCACTTATTTCATCTCTGGTATTTCATAGTGTTGGATGTGGTGGAATGATGATCATAAATGGTGGCTAGATAAAGCTTGAAAGGGGTAATCATGATCTGTTTGCAGGTACTATCCCAGTATTCAGAGAAAAATTATGAATGACTTTCACTGCAACACAAACTGGGGAATTGTGACATTTATTTAATTTATGTGTTTTATTTAACAATGCTGTCAGTAGCTCATATTATATAGCATTGAATGCTAGAATGTCTAGTGAGTAATGAATTGGAGAGGATATGGAAGGAAGTAATTGTGGCCTAATTTAAGATAGTATCCTGGCATTTGACTGGCAATATGGAGGAAAACCATGAGAAACTTTAGTCATGTATTTAAGCTCCACATTTGAACCATGGACCTGAATACAAAGCAGGAGTCCTAACCTCTTATTCAGAAGGTTCAGTTAGTTTGGTACATTGCATTGTTTTTTTAAGGGACACTTGTTATCATTTATATAAACTAGCAAAATACTAACTTACCTGGATCATTTAGAACAGTTTTACTGCCAATAATTTTGACTTCAAGTTTCTTGGCTAATTTCATAAGGTGCCCATTTGACCACATTATGAAGAAGTATGTAATGTACATAAGGACTAGTATGAGAGCCTCATACCAGTCAACTTTCTCATCTAAAGTTACTGCAGTCAAGACTCCTATTGTGACAATGTAGATGCTACAGTCACGTGTCAATGGCCACCATTCAAGGTTAATAACCTGAAAGATAACATGAACACTCAACATTCAAGTATGAATATGTATGAGTACTTATGTGGATTCTATTTGTGGATGATGACACCATATATATTCAGGCTGTATTGATAGCCATCAGTTGACAGACAAAGTACTTTCCACCACCTGTTGGCCTTTTCACTTCTATAAGCATTTTCAGGGGCCACTGGATAGTCACTTTGCCTTGAAAATGGACACAGTATATCAGTGTCCAAAATGTCATTGAACTGTCATGACAGCCTCAAATTTTCTAGTATATGAACTTATAACTTTAGAAGAGTTCATGCTGTCTAATTGAAAAAAATATTAAAATTACTGAATGCCGATTGAAGAAAATTGTATATGCTTTCTTTTCTCAAATGGCGTAGATTTGAGTTCAGCCACTTCAAAAAGCGAACAAAGTTAGAGAGGTGTATTACATGTAGAAAATGCATTTTTGAAATCTGTGCTTCATGGATTTGCGTACTTCATTGGCTTTAACGTGCATTTGTTACAAATCTAAACCAAAACTATTGTCCTAAATGTAATCACACTACAAAAATTCAGAACTTACTTTTCCTTTATTTAATTAATTATTCACCGTGTTGGAGATGAAACATATGGACAACTACGAACAACCTCAATGTTGTACGTTAATTTTAGGTACTTTGTGCAAAGAATACAAACTAAAGTTCCATGTAATTTTAACCTCAGTAGTATTCAGTGGTCACGATCAGACTCCTTCCACCTTCATGTCTGACAAAAGAACTCTAATGACTTTCCTTACCATAGTTCAGAGAGTATTATGACCTGAAGCTATTGTCTCCATCATTTAATGAAGCAGTATGTGTTTATTATATCTGATTTTAAACAAGTGGCATTTGCTAGTTTGAAAAATTAAAAACTCTGTTTCATTATAGTGGCATGAAAGTTCATGTTGATGTAATGATCTTACCTTACAAGCTGCAAGTCCAATACATGCTGCCACTCCCAAAGTATTGAACACAGCAGAACCTACAACTGTGCCCACCCCGAGGTCTGACTCGGTGATGAATGTTCCGATGATATTGACAAAAAGTTCTGGTGATGATGTGGCAATTGCCATAAATGTCGCTCCAGCAACATCTTGTGTAAGGTTCAGATCTGAAAACATTATTGATAACAAGTTGCATTTAAACTAAAACTTTTCTCAGATTTCTCTCCTGCTTATAAGATCTCAGTGATTTATTCCAATGGAGCACAAATGTTTTTAAAATACAATATTTGCTCTTCTACACAGGCTTTTACGTTAATGTATTCCAGTTACAAATCCTTTGTTGTGGGGTTAATCACTCTAGAGAAGTATTGTATTTGTGCTATGACATGTTCTACGTATGTCCTTGGATTAAGCTATGAAGGTTCAATGGAACGTAAATAAATTCTATTCTGTTTTATTCTGAAAAGAGAGAGAAGTATTTTGTTTTACATTGTATTAAACTTTATCATATGCGAATACACATTTAAATTCGTGACAGCTGTACTGGGTAGGCAGGCAATCACCACTGTCAATAAGCTTGTTTCTCTCCAGTCTGTAAACAGAACTCGGGCCGGATATTACCACCAGGTTCTAACAGTACTAGATTTGAAATACTTCCAGCATCTCGTAACTTATCAGAACTAACCTGTACAGATGCAGTCCACTGATGGCAGAAAGTAGTCATTGCAGACTATTGCAAGCATTGTGAAGCAGTAGAGTGCCAAGAGGAAATGAAAGATGATTGCTCCATTCCTCCTTTCTTTTGCGTCAAACAGATCTTCTGGGAAGTCGGCGATAGAACTGTCCATGCAGTCCTGCAGTGGGTACTGGTCATCTACAACAGAAATATTAATTACTTCAATTAATTATCTTAATTTATTGGAATTAAATGTTTATTGCAAATAATTGCCATAATGTATACCATTGGGTACTGAAATTTCAAATGGATCCAGAATATTCCAGAAAGAAATGTTGCATTATAGGAAATATATATTTACCTAGAAAAAGCACTTTATTTTCTAACCATGTTGGTTATACGTTCTTCGCTTGAAAAGCATAAATTTAAAAAAGTGGAGAGATGTGTTAATTTAACGACGCTGTCTCTAGCTCAGTCTGTGCAGCTTCTAATGATAGAATTATTGAATGATAAGCTGGGAAGTATATAAAAGAAGTGTTTGTAGCATAATTTAATTTACTATCCTGGTATTTACTTGGAGAGATTGAGGAAAACCACGATACACCTCAGTCATGATAGCCGGTTTCTGAATTGACATTTTAACCCGGGACCTCCCGAATGAGGAGATCTTGTCCGTATGTTTCATCTTTGACACTACTGAACGTACTTTTAAAGATTTTTGTTACTGATAATGTACGCTAAATGTGGAAGAATGGATTTGATTGATTTTGGTTCATGTGGCTATACGCTCGCTGCGAGCTCGGGCCTCATCTAGCTGGTCAACAGTTGTCTGGCTGTTTGTGGCTAACGATGCATTTTATTTGATCGATTCTAAGACAGAATAGTTTATTTGTTAGCTGAGCTAACGTGGTTAACACGAACGATCTACAACTATTTCGGTTTACTGTGCGTGAAGCAAAGCAAAGTAACATGCATTTCGTACGGCTCTCATTACATCAGCAAACACAACTCCGGTTGGTCGAATTATACACCGTGATTAGAGTGTTAACCTCAACTTCCCCGTGTTACATGAATCTGAAGAGCTTTTGCTGCTCATGTTTGGCAGATCGATAGTGTGACTTTTTCTTATCAATTTGCTGGTTACATGGCGATATGGTTTAGCTGTGTAAGAATTACGTACGTAGACTTTGTTTGTTCATACGGCACGTAATTTAAACTGACTCAGGATAGAGCCGACTGCTGGATTTATATAACGATGGTTATGAATCTTTCGGCTTCATGAGAGGTTATGTTTGATGAGATTTCAGATTCTCACAGCGACGGGTATGACTGTCTTCTGAAATGGGGTGTGATGATGGATACAGTAAGCACCTCTGAAACGTCGGGCGGTTTTCTACCAGGTGCAACATCCCAGAAGACAGTCATCTTCAATGTGAAATTTGTTGACAAGCCGAGAAACTATCAACGTTTTAGTGAAGATTGTTTACCGGAGAGTTTGAATTAGATAAGTCAAGAATTACAAATATGACAATCCTGTAGTAATAGCAATATATAGCATATTTACATTTTCAAAAACTGATTAAAGAATGTGCCCCGAATGGGAGTTAATGATAATCGTGTTGCTAATTTTGAGTCACCTTATGAAGTTACCGGAAATGTTTGAGAGTTCCATTTACGTTAGATATTTAGCTTGTCGGGTAGTTTGGCTACTTCGGCATATAGTTGTGAAAGCCACGGCCAAGTTCTGGGAAATTCGAAAATCATCACATCAGTGTTCAGTAGTTACATAGTCATGTCTAAGACATTGATACAAACAAACAAACAAACAAATGAGTGGACATATTAGACAAATTAGAGGACATGGCCTTGAGTGGCGCCAAATAACGAGTGAGATAAACGATGAAAAGCAAATTTATTCTTAAAAGCTTTTAAGAATTTACTTCGAATAAATATGGCAGTTTGTCTTCCTTTTTGAAATAAGAACGCTGTTTGAAGAAGTAACGTATATCGTTGGTGCCAGATTCGTGTATACACAGTGTAAAAGCATGAATAAGTTAATTACTGCTGTGTTGATACGATTAACAAGAAAGTCACGTACAGCCGAGCATATGAATAGTCCCACGAGCTTCGTTATGACAGCTCGAACATCACAACACAAAACAAATTTCTCCATATCCCTCCAGTTTAAGTTCTGCAAATCAATGACCCACATAACCACTGTACAGTATGGGCCACTTCACAGTAGAGCTTAGAACGATTTATTCTGGCTAAAATCACAGTAGTTTAGAACATATCAAGGCCTTGATTTTGATTACCTATTTAACAACGATTATCGAGTGATGAGTTGGTTTTTATTGATAGTTTATTTATCGACGCTTTTTCAGTAGCTCAGACTTTAACAACGTCGATTGAGATAATCATAGTGAATAATGATTAGGAAAGGATGCGGAAGGAAGCGGTCATGGCCTAATTTAAGTTATTATCCCGGAATTTTCCTGTAGGGACTGAGAAAACCACGAAAAACCTCTGTAAGGTTAGTCAGTTTCCACGAAGAGATTGGAACCCGGGACCTCCCCCGAATGCGAAGCAGGAGTGCTGACCACGACGTTAGTTGGGTTGGTTTTGATTGGTGAATTGGGCCCTGTCTCTAGCTATGAAATACGCGAACCGAGAAACAATGAAAATGGTCACATCAGCAGGAGGAGAAGACGCGGATCCAAGCTATAAAAGAAAGAGTTTGCCTAGGAAAAAGTCGAACATTCCTTACATAGGGATAGTTACGCAGTTTTTCAGTACTGAAATATCATTTATCAAACAATCCGTCTCTTGAAGTTTCTCTTAATATAGACTCTAGATGGCGTCTTTACTCTAGACCAGAGGTTCCCAAACTTTTATACCTTGCGCCCACCTTAATACATTTCATAAATTTCACGCCCCCCTTCCAGAACAAGTGCAAGCAAACAGATTTGACATAAAATTTAGCTATGAGTATACAGCACTGTAAGACAACTAAACTGCCCCAACCATGCAAAGGATGTTAAAAATGTTTATCAATATTTTGTTAAAAAAAGTTTTTCATACAAACAACGTGCCCCCCCCCCCCAGAAAACCACTGCCCCCCCTCAGGGGGGGGCGCCCCACACTTTGGGAACCTCTGCTCTAGACACCGCTGGTCTTCTTCTTCATTTTAGTTGACATGGGTGTTTATATTTGTTGAATATATGAGATATTCGTACCCTAAGCAGGATTTGAACCCGCGATCCCATTGTTTGGGTCAACCATGATCAGCTTCCATTGTTAAAGTAAATAAAAGTACTTGTATCAGAGGATGCTGACTGATAAAACTAGTAACACTGGAGGAATATGAACTATAAATGAGGTTATTTATAGTAGGATTTGAGCTTCTCGTGGGCTTGTATCGCCGTGTAGTGTGGTAGGAGTTTACCGACGTTTCAGCATACTTGCAAATTAGACTCATATCTAAACCATGTTTTGTATGATGGGAGCAGTCATGTCTACTAGTGTTTTCCACATATTTTTCGAATTTACTTAATCTGTGGAATCATTTCCAGTTCTGTCAGTTTGAATCTTGGTTTATTATTGATCGTTTTTCTGTTGTCTTACTTATGTATTGTCAAATAATAGGATGATTTCTGAGTGATGATAGGAAAATATGTGAAGGTAATTGGTCGTGGCATTCTCTGGACCTTTGCCAGGAGGACTGATTAAAACCAAGAAAAATATGTCAAAAGTGGGTTTCATTTTTGAAGCCAGGACTTCTTGAGTAGGAAGCAGAGGTTCTGGCCACTCAGCCACTAAATTCATTGTGCATTGTCTGTATGTTGGTCTAGACCATGACAGAATCCCCAAATTTTGGGATATTATAAAGATGATTGATAAATGTGAACGTTCGTGCCTTGCACAGGATTGTAACCAACAACTGCAGAAATTACACTCAGCTATAGTTCATAATATTATCAAATAATCATCACTTGCCATGACAGCATAAACAGGAATGGAGAAACACTCTAAGGCATCATTAACTTATGTATTTAAGAAAGTGCTGAGTTACGAACAACTTTCAGCCCCCATTTCTCTAGAGGAAATATAATATAAATTATGTGTACAGAACTTACATATTGGATCATATGTTTACAGGGAATAAGAAAATATTTTGATTGTGCTATAATGTAAACAGTTGGTAGAAGAGTGAGAAAAGAAATTCCTAATAGAAGTTCACAAAAATATATTATTAAAAGTCAGATTTATTCCCGAAAGTCCCGTTTTCTTGCACCCCTTGAATCAATGCTCCACAGCCATCGTTAAGAACTGCCGCTTTGTACTAATAGCTTAAATGAGATCTGTTAAATGGAAACTTACCTTTATCAGTTGTGTTATTCATACATTCCACTGATATAAATTGTACCATAAAAATAATGGACACGACTGTTATTTTCCATTTCAGTTCTGTCATTTTATTGGTATTAGGACACAGTCTATGTTGTGGTTGCGCTTATAATACTATCAAATTCTTCAGGTCACTGAATTGACTGTCACTGTTCAAAACACTTAAACAAATCACAAATAAAATTTCAATCTCCGCGTATGTCTTAAATGATTGTTTCTTTGAGATTGAGAATAAATTAACCAAAAAATTTCATGTCACAGCTACAACTTGTTTTATAGCTCATATCATTAACTTTAATGATAGTTATTGTTTTCTGATATTCAACTTTTTCAAAATTATATAGTCATCACGTACTCTATTTTGAAAAAATAATTATTTACATGCACGAAATGATCACCATAATTGGCATAGGCAGCCTAGCAAAAATGATAAACTGCAAGGCTCCTATGCTACATGAGAACTACGAAGAACCTACACCGGCACATGCTATCAGAAGACTGAAGAAAAAGCCAATCAGCCCTTATCTAAAACTCACAGACCAGCTGCTATTTTAGGTAATTTATGGTGTAATCACTCGATGTTTACCAAAAATATTGAAAGGATGAAACACAAACAGCATGATGTAATTTAAATAATGAAGTAGAGACAGTCTAACATGAAGACTTCAGTATAAATCAGTGGTAATTACTGAAATAAATAATCATAATTGTTGGCGTGACAGTTTGTAACTCACCTTCAATGTCAAATGTGCTGAGTGTCTCCACTTTGGAGGGGAAGAAAGGAAGACATG